AATATTGTGGTCATGTGTTATAAACATCAAGCAACCAGATCTTTCTCAGCTCTGAAAGAACGGGCTTTAGTGTGACTGAATAGTAGTTTTGGTATGTCTGATAGCAAGCCTGAATGCTATCCAACCAACAGCTGGAAATGTCCTAGAGTCCAGAAGAAGATTAGATAGTCTTTGTCCTAAACAAATTTAAGGCAGCACCTTCAGTTTAATCTGGTGTTTGAAGTCTGGCTTCTCCTGGAAAAAGGCTTAATGAAGAAAACTAGTAGGCAGATGGACTGACTGAGGTATGAAAATTTAATTAGAATTAAGATTAGAATTAAAATTTAGATATGGCCTGCGGTAATCCTATAAATTATGGGCTTTGCGAGACTGGCTGCAGGGAGCTGTCTTTTTTTGTGCTCTGCTACTTGATATACTGACTACAAGAATCATAATTTGTGCCGAAAAGGACGAGAGGATTGCCTAGCTCAGCCAGTAATGCACTGACTTTCAGGACAGAAAATCTTGTCTCGAGAAAGGAGCACATGATGTTCTTCGGGCATCTTTTGCACATTATGCAAAGACATCGTTTCATCCTGAAGCAGAGGATATCTGGGGAGAATGTTGCAAAGTGTATCCTGGCAGGCCTGGTGGTCTGGCTTACATGTAGGGAAGAAAATAGTTGCAGTGTTTAATGGAAAGATTCACTGCAGAGCCCCACAGAATATATGTTTCCTTTAGCCTCGAAAGCATTTCTGCAGTAACGTGCCTTGTTCAGATTTATGGAGTGTGCCAAGGCAGCGTGTGAGCTATCAGGTGCGATGGCACCGAACAGCACGGAGCTGTGACTTGGGAAGACAAAAGTCTGCAAGAAACGGGAGGATGATCAGCAGAAGGGTGCTTTTATGAGCTGCCCTATATCATATCAGGGAACTAACTTCCATGGAATAATAATTCTTCTTTAATTCAGCCCTAACTAAAGAGAATGTCTTGTCATAAAGGATCAATAAGAATTTTACAAACAATGGTAAGGATTTTCTCCAGCAATTTTCCTAATTGCTGCAATCCAGAAAAACTGAGGACACAGGGGAAAGCCTGAATCTGAATTACAATACAGACATGGAAGCCTGTGTTACATACATTCAATTTTTTTTTTAAGAAATGCCAGTACAATAAGATGAAATAAAGATGTGAGTCTGAATTTAAACTCACAAGGGATGTAATTATTCAGTTTAAAAAAGGTATATACATAAACAGTTGAATTTCAGCTTATTAAGAACCAATTTTCTGGAAGAAAAAAACAATTAATAAGGAGACAATTCGAAAACAATGGAATCAAGCACGTCACATGAATTAATGAACCTTGTGTTGTCCTAGACCAAATTTAAGCATGGAGATCTATTTTGAAAGCTATTGAGCAATGTACCTCAAGGAGTTGTGCTTTACTTTGTTTCTGATTATATAAGGCATGGATATATTTATATATCTCCATTTATATCTTGAATAGGAAGGCTAATGTGAGCTGTGATTGAAATATTTACCTGCCAGTTACTGTTTATAAATGGAGTACTGATGTCCAGGTGCTTCTCACTCTTGGCATAACTTGATACAATATCACTGTTAGGTTAGATTCCTCTGAATTCTTTAAAGTTTCACTCCTCACTGTACAAGAAGGTTCAACACACCAAATTTCAGTGGGGGGAGGAGGGAGGATTCCCTCTCAGTATGTATTCACTGGAGAGAAGTATTTTTGAGAGGTAAGAAAATCCTTTGCATAGGAAGGAGGAAATCTTTAGAAAACAAGCCTTAAAAAGGATGGCTTTTCAAAATAGCGATGCAAAAAGTGCTGACAAGATGGTTATAATCATTTTGCTAATGGCATTCTTTTTTTTTGTAAATCAATTCAGGCTTTGTATAAGAGGGACAGCTTTGAAGCTATTAAAAAACTTGGCCTTTTTGGAAGTCTTTAGTTTGACATGAAGTTGAATCTAGACAGTTAAAATATATAACTGAAAGAAAGTTAAGTATCTACCTTTTGATATTGAGAGGTGGCATTTAATCTCAGGACTTGAAAGATCATCAGTCTCTCAGAGGACTTTCAATTCATTTCGACATCCCTGTTGCATCTTGAGGTAAGGAGATTTTACTTGCTAAGTCACAAACTAGAGTTTCAAACCTTCAGAGCCCTTTTCAGTAGCCTGTTCTGAGCAGTTCTACGCTGACAAAAAACTTTTAATACCTTTTTTTTTGTAATACCGGTTTCCAGTAAAGCTAGTTCATCCTTTGAAAGGTGGCTTGACATCTGTAAGAAATCTCAGTGCCAAGGAGCCATTTTCAGCCAAACACCCTCAAAAGACTTTAAAGTTCAGGTCTGTGTGCATATTGTACACCACACCCTAAATTCTACTGTAGGAACATCATGCTGGCTATGCTGTTAGATTCAAATTACATGACCTAGCCCATATAGAAGACACTCCAAGCCTGAAAACAATGGGCATTCATTCAGGACATGGTGGCAAGGTTTGCAAGCTGAGCCACAGCGTTATTCTGATTTTGCTACATTGCTTTGCCTCCTCAGATAAGGGTACTCTCCATCTCCACTGCCTTTGGAGACACTGCACCGTTTTCAGCCGCGCAGTGGTGTCACGCCCAGTGTCACAGGAGGCTTTTATCAAGCAGTTACGTATTATACAGAATCTTTTTGTAGTGTAAAAATACTTAAAGACTGTTTTCATTTCTTCGGCTTTTCTGAGTCCTCAAGGTCTGGGAGACTTCTAGGAAGAATCTTCTTGTCAGGGGCTAAACTTCTGAATTGCATCCTGAATTCTCTTAAGATTCAGCGTTATCAGAGGAGCCACCATAAGGCAGCAGGGCAGGCTGACCTTCAATCTTCTTAAACATTCAGGTTTCAAAGATGCATATTAATCATACCTGTTCTGTTGGTTTCTTGTGAGTCACCGGGTTTCCTTCAGCTGAGAAACATGTATGCCAAAGAGAATCAGAAAGTGCCCTCCACTTTTGACCTCATTCTACCAACTGTATATCCGTGCATACTTCATGTTTGCAAAGACAAAGGTGAACACCTTGAAGGAATATCTCTGGGGTGGTACTCCACTGTAATAGCAGGAGAGCTTAATACATCTAGAGCTCTGCTGACTTGATTTCTTCTGCATACATCCTCTGTTCACAGGAGAAATACAGAACTTTTTCAGAAGGCTGTTTTTTCTCCCCAACTAAACAGTTGGCCTAAATCTTTTGAAGATAAATATTCTGAAAAGCTCTAACTTAAGGGCTTTTAAGAAGTGTCCTGTTTCTGTGAAGAATAGGGGAACCAGATAAACAACGAGGAAGTTAAACAAAACAGGATTCTCTCAGTGATGTGCACATTATATGGGCATAGAAGTCAGAGATTAATACTTGATTGTTGGAGGCAGGTATAGCTTTGGGGAGATCCAGGCATGTTCTTAAAGCAGCAAAGCAAAGCAGGACAGGGAGGCACCTGATGCACAGTCTGATGACTGCACTGTCTTAAGAGTGGCATTCACAAGATGGCTGTGTACAAGAGCAGCAGGGAAGAAGGCATTCTCAGTTCCCCAGAAGAACCCACCATTTCTCCAAACTCTTT